AAGATTAAGAAATACAAAAACACCCTTAATTTGCATAGACACAATTGCACATACCGCTACACACTCACACACACACACACACACACATACACACGCACACACTCCACATACAAACACACACATTCCATCAGTGCCAACGTAACATCTGCCACCAATAGACTCTTTGAAAGCAAGCTTTCCTCCTGGCACTCCATGAAACACAGAGAGAGAGAGAGAGAGAGAGAGAGAGAGAGAGAGAGAGAGAGAGAGAGAGAGAGAGAACGAGAGAGAGAGAGAGAGAGAGAGAGAGAGAGAGAGAGAGAGAGAGACAGAGAGAGAGAGACAGAGAGAGGAGAGACTGACTGACTGACAGAAATACAAAGTCTGCAGAAAATTTTGCAATAAATACTGTATGTAAGAACAATTTACACATTACTTTGAGAATCTTTGGGGTGTTAGCATAGCATGGCTACGTCTGTTTTTGTTTGTTTTGAGCTTCACTTCAACCCGTCTGCACAAAAAAATGAACGGTGACTTTGGATTTCATGGATTATTATTTTGATTTTGGCTTTGATTTCACTGAGCCAGCTGCAGCCTGTTTTACCACAATCTTCCACTAGAGGCTGTTAAAGACTGACAGAAAAAAAAAGCATGACCTTTTCCTGTGAGTGGGACTGACAGGGAAGTCGCATAACAGCACAATAAAACTAAATCACAGGGTGTTGTTGTCTCCTAAAGCTCAGTGAGGCTCACAATCTGCTGTAAACTGTAAGGCATCACAGAGTGCACTCAGTTTGTGTGTGTTATGCTGTGCTGCAGTCCTTGAGCAAGGCACAGAAGCTCTGGTGCCTCAGGAATGTTTTGCTGTAGTTGACCTTTGACCTTCACATAAACATTAGTCAGTGTTCACCTGTTTCCTGCCTCTTACCATGACCTGCTTATCTCTTTCTTTCTTGCACACATAACCTGAAAAGCCAACTCATGTCCAGTCAACAGCTGACTACTGTATATAACATCTGTCACCTCGGAGGAGTTTTACCAAATAAAAGCTCATTTTTGAGCCCCGGTGCAATGGAAGCTCTCACCCTGCACTGTTAGTGACATACTGTACTGTATATTCCACCTGTGGTTGTATTGCTTTACAGAAAAAAACAAACACTTTATAAGATCATATTTTCAAGTAAACATCCTGCTACTCCCAGTACTGCATGTCAGTACGTTGCCCTAACAGCTGTAAATGCATCCTATTAGTGCCTTTTCCTTGTCTTACACTAGTGTGGGAGGATGGAAGCAACATTGCCACACAGGTTCTTGTACTTGAGTATTTCCATTTCATGATACTTTATACTTCTACTTCACTACATTTCAGAGGGAAATAATGCACTCCACTACATTCATATGACAGCTGAACTTACATAGATTACATGATTAGTGTTATTAATCTGCCCACCAGTAGCTACAGCATATGGAATAGTTGAAATTAGCTCAGCTATGACCAGCTTTACTAGAGTATTTTTTTATATTGCAGTATTAAGTGAAGGATGCTTCCTCCACCACTGGCACTCAAAAGATCATAGTAATGATTTTGAATGCTTATGCCAGTATGTTTTTATACTGACGTCTCTAATTCTCTCACTTTTAATTCATCAGACTAAAGATGTTCTGTATTGTGCGACGGGCTATTTTCAAAATCTTTCATCTTTCGTTCATTAAAAGATGCTGCAACATCCAAGCTCCACAAGAGTAGTTCACTGATCAAGCAGAATCACAGAGGGAAACAAAAAGCAGCAAACTGAAAATTATAATGTGAACTTGGTTGGAGTGACCTTGAATACACCAACATGGATAGTTTTCAAAACAGCCTCTGCTCATAATCACAGTATCGTGCACTGTGATTAATTAAATTCTGAATACATTATTTATCTCATGCCCTGTTTTCCCTTTTGCTGATTGGATATTTCACATTTTCCCTTTTATTTTCTCTCAGAACATTTTGAATGAACATCAAATCATAAAGTAAGCTTTAGTTATATAGTTAGACCGACTGGAAGCGGGTCCTTTTCTCAATCATCACATGGATGTAATGCCACAAACAAGTGTTTGCAGCTGCCACCGGCCCCAAACAAACCAATCTGCATACACCAACACATACACCACATACACACAAACAAGAGAACACGCAGCTTGGTCTCCATCAGGCAGCACTGGCACAGTGCCCTGAGACGTCGGCACACATCATGGGCACAAAGGAGGGAAGGAAATCCAGACGAAAGAAAGACAAAACAAAACAAAAAAAGAAAGAAAGAAAGAAAGAAAGAGGCTAAAATATCCTCGGAGGAAGACAGAGAGCGCAGCGGATGGCGGGACGACACAGAAATAAAGAAGGCTGAAAGATAAATCTGACAAAAGCGTACCTCGTTTCTGATCCACACCACACAGGGAGAGCAGGAGGGATGTTGCTCTTGATTGCTACAGGGTCCACCTGTCTGTCTGTGTGTCTGTCTGTCCTTCTGCCAGCCTGGATCTTTGTCTGTGTCTGTGCATCTGTCTGCCATCTGTACCTTTCTGTCTGTCTCATATTTTCTAATGTGCCTTTTTTTTCTTGGTGTCTTTCATATCTTAATCTGCAGTTTACTTTATTGTGATGCATATGACTACTTGTCTGTCTGTAGTCTGTATTGGTCTGAGTTTGTCTGTGTGTCTGTTTATTTGAATGTGTCTGTACTCTCACATTTTCTGCATCTTTTGTAGTCTATTGGCCAGTCTGCCATATACAGATACAGTCTACTCCTGCCTGTGTGTCTGTCTGTCTGCTGCAGCCCATTTACACACACACACACACACACACACACACACCCACACACACACACACACCCACACACACACACACACCCACACACACACACACACCCACACACACACACACACCCACACACACACACACACCCACACACACACACACACCCACACACACACACACACCCACACACACACACACACCCACACACACACACACACCCACACACACACACACACACACACACACACTGAAGCACAGATGGACCCACAACCATTTCAGATTCTTCATCACAAAAGCAGTCAGGAGCTTCAGAGCAAACAAGTGCAGAGGAAACAGACACTGCAGGAAGCAGGGGCGAGGCGGGATGAAGTTAATCGGCCATTTTGGAGGACAAGCAGAAGTGCACAAGAAGCCGGCGGGAGGCGATACTTTTTCTTATTAAAGCACTAGAGATGCCCGACTGTCCAAACACCCGACTGTTCCTGTACCTCTCAGTCAAAGGTTTGGACCCAGGCCAAGTCGGGCATCCCACACCCACCAGATTTCCTCTGTTCAATCCCAGCATGCCTTGGCACGACACTGAGTGATTGCAGTCACAACGGCAAAACAGGGAAGAGACAGAAAGAGAGACAGAGAGGCTGGATCCCTGCCATGTCTTCCTTGTAGTGAGTTAATGAAGCAAGAAAAGCTTGGATACACTTCAAGCATCAACTTTCACACACACACACACACACGCACACAGTGGGCACAAAAACCCAAGCCAGCACAGACAGCAGGCATATTGAACACATCTTTCATATTTATTCTAACATGTTCCCACCTCCTGCACAAACAAAAACCCCAACAAGGCGAACAGCCACCAACCCGTCTGAAAACTCACTGTGTGAGCGATGTCTTTGTTCGTGGTTAAATTGTTTGTCGGATGGCTTTTCTGACGTTTCAGTGCTTTTTGATGTAAAGCTGGATCAAGGTGCAAAGAGGAAATACGTCAAAGTGAAATAATATATTCATTCAGCATGAACATCTTTACCTGGCATACAGGTGATGAGTGGAGGGGAGACGGTGTTGTTTTCAGTCTGTGGCAGACTGTCTGAAATCTGAGGGACGGCTGGTTGGATGGGAAGCTGATGTAAAGGCTGGACAAAGGAAATGGAGTGGAGAGATGACAACAAGGAAGAGCGCAGAGATGGTGGTAAATAGTACGATACTGCAGTGATCATTCATTCTTCTCTTCATCTGTAATAAAAAATAATAATCATGACACAGGCTTTCTCACAAAATGATTTTTCATTATCAGGATTTACAAGAATTCAGTTAGCACTACTGCTGAGGGAGCAGGTATGGTAGTCTTTATTTTTGTTATCAGAATTGGTTCTCTTCAAAACATCCATGACAATAAGCAGCTGAAATGTTTCCACGTCTTCGTTTAGTATGTGATTAGAGCCACACCGCTACTGTGGCTGCTTCAACATCCATAAGTTCAACATCCACTTTTGTTGCATAATAAAATCACATTATTACATTTTTTTGAAAAGCATAATATTTCCAATGTATGGATCGCTAGCTGGCAGACAAAAACAAATGCCAGAGACAAAAAGAAAGTAAATTCAGTCCCAAGAGTTTCTTCTTCCACTTGGACTGTCCACTGTCATGATTGAGTCTCTCTACTGGCCAGACATGAAATGTACATTGACATTTTTGACCTATTTATAATGAACATAAGCAAAGTCATCTAGACAGAAAAAAACCCACAACATTTTATGGATGTCTGTGTTTATTTCCTTCAAAACAGGAAAAACTCAACTTTCCTCTGGTTTCATTCATTCATCCATCCAGCAGTTGGTTTTAAATTAAACAATTACAAAATTAAAAAGAAAAAACTAAATATAACACAGAGGTTCAAATCATATAGTATTTACAGTATCTCCTTTAAATTAATCGCAAACTCTTTCAATAATCCTCTATGTGCACTCCTGTGTGAGGCAAATCAAAGTACTGACTGACCTCTTGTCAAAATGTGAGACTTTCCTCATGCAAGCTGTAACATTGCAGGTTCAGTAAATATGAACCGTGGTTGCTGGCAGTCCTGAGCAAGTTGAGAGCATGTGCAAATTCCTCGGACTTAAGATAATTCAAGATGTCAAAGGTTCGACTTTTGCTTTCATTCACATTCATTTTCTTTATATATATGTGTATATATATATTATAAAGTGCTTTTCCCTCAAAAATTGTTCACTTTCTTAGAGATCTTAAGTCGATACAAAAAGTATCCTGGAAAAAAACAAAACAAGTCAAAAAAATAAATCCAGGCACTTTTTGGACAGAGAAAGGAAAAACATCATTCCAGTAAATTTCACTTTTCTCCAGGACAATCAAGATAACATAACTGAGCAGAGCTTAGCGTGGTCTTCCTCCTCTTTCCACCTGTCGTCCACCTCTCCTCCGCTCTCCTCCTCCCTCCCATCTTTGTTTTTCTTTGTCTTCTTCTTGTGTTTGTGTTTCTTCAGCTCCCATTCCTCCAGCAGCTCTGGGGTGGCTTGGCTCTTCTCCTTTTTGTGGTGCTTTTGTTTCTTCTTCCGCTCATTCCTCTTGTCGTCCCTGCTTTTGTCCTGGCTTGCTGATGAGCTGACACTGCTGCTGCTTCGGCTGCGGCTGCCACTGCTGGGCCTCTCTCCCTCCTCAAGCTCCCCCCCCCCCTGCCACTTGGTCTCTCCGGACAATTTATCAGCCTCATCTTGCCACTGACTAACTCCTACTCCCTCAGCCTCCATCTCTCTAGTCTCTCTCTCACCTTTGCTTTCTTCAATCACTTTATTCACCTTATTTCTCTTCCACTCCTGCTTCTCTTCCTTCCTCTCATTTCTACTTCTGCTTTGCATGAACTCCTGACCAGGGCTGCTCATTCTGGACTTACTGGTCTTAGGGCTGGAGGATTCGGATGGGGGTATCTGTCCTTCCCTACCCTGGCTGTGGGAGTGGGACGGTGAGGAGTGGTGGGTCCCTGCAGGTCGGCCTTGGTGTCTGTGGCTCCCTGATGGATCTCTGTGATTACGGTAGTCGTGGGGATGGTTTTTGTCTTTACATTTTGAGTCCAGTAATGTGTCTCCATATGTTTTGTGTGCGTGTTTATCAGGCAGTACGGCAGCTCTGCTCATTGAGCTTCTCTCCCTGCTTCCCCTGCCAGAGTGTTTCCTGTCAGGACGTGAGCTGGAACGCTTCTCACGGTCCTGTTCTCCTCCTCGCTGCCGGTCTCTCCTCTCTATGTCCTGGTACGTCGAATAAGAGGAGACGTGACCGGTGGAAGGTGAATTCCTCTTTTGGACAGAGGCCAAGCTGCTGTGCTCCCTCTCTCTCCCTCTATCTCTCCCTTTTTCTTCCTCTTTTGACCTTTCGTTTGATCTTCTGCTCTCTCTCTGTCTATCCCTCGGCCTCTCACTCTCCCTCCCTCTTGTTCTGTCCCTCCACCTTTCCGTCTCCATCTTTCTCTCTGTACACAAAGTGCTGTCAGTTCTGTCTTTGCCACTAGAGGGAGCCACACTCTCGTCTAAACTGAACAGAGTCAAGTTTTTCTGTTTCTCCCTGTCCCCTCCTCTCTGCATCGCTCTGTCCCTGTCCCCGTCTCTGTCCACTGACCTCTGTCTCTTCAGTTCATTCTCTCCCTCTCCCTCTCTCTTGGTTGTTATCACTAATGGTGGAGGCAGAACCACAGGAAGAGGGTCTTCAGCCTTGATCTCTCCTTCGTTCTGCTCTTCCTCCTCAGGCTCGTCCATCTCCCATTTGGAGTGAGGGACCTGAGACAGACAGGTAAAGTGTGTCTGAGACAACATACAGTTTTTGTTAGTGTGCGTGCATGTATTGTGGTTCTTTAATTTTTTGGACTAATAGCTCCCTAAAACAAAGCAAAGCATCCCACAGAGTCAAAAACAGTTTAGCAAGTAATAAAATTACACAGGCCAGAAGTTCGTATAAACCACGAGAGCGAATGTGCAGGATACAAATGTTTTCATTCCCATAAGTCATGATACGGCCTATAAAAGCTTTCTGGGCACACATCATGATCTAGACTCACAGACTCACCTGTACGAGCACGAGTGGATCCTCCCTTTCTGCGGCTCTCTCCTGAGTGTACTCCTCCACAGTCTTAACCACCGCCCTCCTCTCCCAACAATCCTCGCAGCTGCTGCATTTAACACACACACACAGAACATTAAAATCAGTATATAGCTCTACAGTACAAAAAGGCTTTCAGGCTTGTATAAAACACACTTGAGTCCCTAGTTGTCAGACAACAGAATATTTGGTTTTTATGTTTGGCACCTATCTTAAAAGAACTGATAAAGGACTTTCTGTGCTGTTTTGACAGGAAATTATTTACCATCTGTTAACAGCTAAATCCAACTTAACATAATGAGTTGACTTACATGCTAATTGCAGTATCTATATTTGTCATTAGTTGTGGTTGTGGGCGAGTCAACAAACAGAATCAAAGAAACAATATAAAGCAGATAGTTAAAATGTATTGTCATTGGATTTTCATGAAGTCAAGCTACATTGTTTTTGACATTATTTACAGTGAGTAGCTTTTCAGCAATATCCTTTCAATGCATTTATATTCAGTCATTACCTTTTTTATATAGTAATTTTCATTAGTAATTCGTTAGTGACAGTCTGCCATTCCAGTATTGAACTCAAATGGACTTTCTGTGTGCAAGGGATTCACAGGAAAAGATGCTGCAGTTAATCCAGCTCATTAATATCAGCCTCACTGTTTACCCTCCACTCTGCTACGACTGTAGGAGAGTGAAGAGTATGTAAGTAGCTCTATTAAGTTAGTGCGAATGTGAAATGAAAATTTCCTTACAAGCAAAACACAGAGTAGCTCTCAATGGGAGGCAGTCACAGGAAATGAAATGTATTTGTGACTGTGTGAAGTTCTGACAATGATTATTCATCAAAATGTGTCTACAGGACAAGACCAAGGTCATCTTCTGCATTGCTGGACAGTGGGTCAGTTTCAAATATTGCAAGAAGGAGCAGCCACGGTGAGCTGTGAGATGAAGCTGTGGGATTATGAATATCCATAAATTTTTTTTTTTAAAAAGCAGTAAATTTCTGACCTGCCACCGTCCATGTTGGAGTTTGGTCTGTCACGGCTGCTCTCTGTGCTGCTCCTCTGTGACATGAACCTCAGCATGTCCTCTTCTTCTGTCCTTGTCCTCATCTTCACTCCCTCCATCGCGGCCTCCTTTGGTTTTGAGTCCCCTGGCAGGTTTCCTTTGTTTTCCTTGCTTGTGCTTTCTTCCTCTGCCCGGACCAACTCTCTCATCTCTTGGCCTCGACTTTCTTTCCTCATTCTCTCTTCTTCTTCCTCTTTCCCAGTAGCGTCTCCTTTGCTGGCCTTCATCCCATCTCCTCCCCACTGCTTTTTACTCCCCTTCTCCTCCTTTTCTCCTCTAAAGGCATAATGCCATAAGTAAAAGTCCTCCTCTTTTCTGTCCTCTTTCTTTTCTCTATCTTCTTTCCCTCCTGTAAATTTCTTCCACATCTCTCTCTTGTCATCTATCAAGGTGGGTTTCTCGCAAAACTGTCTTGCCTCTCCTTCGTCTGGCATTATTTTTTCTTCAAACACACTCTCATTTTCTCTGATAGATTCCTTCTTTTCATTAACTTCATCTTCAGTGTTTAATTTCTCCTCTTCTCCATCACCAGTCTTCTCAATTTCATCCTTTGATTTTCCTACGATACTCCCCTGAATTTCAGTTTTCTCCTCCATCCTTCTCCCATCCAGGTTGATGTTGATACTTATTTTCTTCTGTGGTTTCACTGTTATTCCTCCTTCCCAGAGGGGGGGCTTCTCTGTCGGAGGCCATGTTTTCCTCTCTTTTTTCTTCTCTGTCTTTTGCTTCTTACTGTCAAAAGGATTGGGGGATTCATTCTTGCGGGTTTCATTTCTCTCCAGGTTCTCTCCTTTTCTTTTTCTATTCTTCTCTGATCTTGAGTCAGAGGCTTTGCTGCCTCCGAGGTTGTTGTATCTTTCTGAATCCACCCTGTCTGCCTCTTTACTGGGCTTTACTTTGTGCTGTCTCTCCACATCTTGCCTGGAGTCTTTGCTTCTTCTCCATCCTTTCTCTGTTTCCACATTCCTTTGTTCTCTGCTTTTTCTTTCACAGTCTTTATCTAAAGACTTATCTGGTTTCAGAGAAGGTTGGAATGATTTTAAGGTATCTCTGGCAGCTGCTTTGTCCTGTACAAAGGTGCCATCCTTGCAGGCATGTGGTCCAGTGTCGTGCCCCCTCTCGTTCTTTCTGCTGTCATCTGTTGAGTCTGTAGCATCGCAGGATGACGACTCCTCTCCCCTTCCTTCCTCATGTGTCTTCATCCTCCTTTGTTGATGTTTCAGGGTGCTGAGGTCCTCCAAATTTTTAACGATTACCTGCTTGTCTTCTTTACTTCTTTCTTGCAGTTCCACCTCCTTACTGCCCTTTGCGAGCGTGATAGGCAGGTGGCTGTCTTTCTGTTGTTGATACGCCCTTGGCTGAGCTCCTTCTTCTGATGGTGTGCAGCGACCATCGCTGGACGATTGAGAGGGAGGGGAGCAGCTGTCGTTGGACGTATGAGATGGAGACGAGCGACTGACACTAGACGACTGAGATGGTGTGGAGCGGCTGTCACTTGAAGACTGCGATGAAGGCGAGCGGCTGTCACTGGACGACTGCGATAGAGGGGAGTGGCCGTCAGTCCGGGCAGTGTGTCCGTAATGAGAGTCCGAGTTGGGATGTGAGTGATTTTTGCTTCCTTCCCACTGAGGAGGAGGAGGAAGATTGATGAAAGGAGGAGGCAGCTGGTGGAAATGGCCGACATAGCTGCTGAAATATTTGTCACACCACTCTTTGTACTCCTTCTTCCACTGCAGGTAGCGCTCTCTTTCCAGCTCCAGACTGTTTGTTTGATTCGCATGGTGAGCATAAAGGGAACTGGCTAAACTCGCCCCAGAGCCTCCCTCTTCATTTCCTGAGTGTTCTCCTCGCCTCCTGGAGCTGTAGCTGCTCGAAGGAGACTTCTTGGTGTGATGGCGGCTATGGTGGCGGTTTTTCCGGTGATCTGACGGTGACTTGGACTTAGAATGGTAGCCAACTTGAGGTGACGATGATGAGGAGGGTGTAGGGGAGCGTGGGCGTTTGTAGCCATAGCTATATGAGTGGGAGGGATGAGAGCGGGTGTGGAGATCTCTGTGGCGGGAGTAAGGAGAGCGGGGCCTGGAAAAAAATGAATCAAAACACAATTAAAAAAAAAACCCTGAGAAATATTCAAATCATCTGTTGTTTGTCACACACATTTTAATGCATCATTGTCTTGTTATTATTTGAGTGTATGTCATTGCCATCTTGTCTTTGAAAGAAAAGAAAAATGGGAAAAACACAGCACCTGTTCTTTTTGGGCTTTAAAATGGACATGGAGTCACGTGTAAAACTAAAAGTATGTATGAACAGTTTTATTGTAAATAAACAAACAAACAAAACATTAAATCTTTTTAAACCAAACCTTTTTTAATAAAGGGAAAAAATACCTTGATCTGCCTTGGGATCTGGATCGTGAACGGGATCCAGACCTGCTTGAAGAGCGAGAGTAGGAGCGAGAGGACTTGGATTTAGAAGACTTTGAATTAGAGCGAGACGAGGAGCGTCTGTAGCTAGATCCTCTGTGAGGGGACCTGAGTGACAAAGAGACAGGGAACCAACTGAGTCGACGTGTAGACTTCTCATTATTATTAATACATTGTCCTCAGACCACAGTACCTCTGTAGCTAAATTTATTTACATTAGTAACGTGATGAGAGTTGAACAGGCTGCACCTGCAGCGGTGTGAGTGGCTTGGGGTTGGGATGTTCTGGTTTTTTCAGTATCACAACACAAGATTTGTATCACAGTTTCAGTCTCGGTTTTAGAACTGTTACACTCACATTACAGTCTCACCAGTTGTTATGAGAGAACATGCTGAGCAGGATACATTACATTGGAAAAATACACTTGTCCGTGCTCTCTAGTGGACAAAGTGTATAATGATGTCAATGTTTAAAAATTACTGATAACATACTGTATCTTTGGAATTTCTGTAGGGGTGGAGAATTCAATACCTAATGTTATTCCCTAAAAGACAGCTGAGAGCTGGCACATCCATTCTTACAATTGAACAAGTACAGTCATATGATTTAAGACATGGAGATTTGAAGATACCCTGTCATGGATATGACGGCTTGGAAAAATGCAGAGCTGTTGATTGTTCAGTATACCTTTCCTTATTCTTTCTCTGGTGTTTGTACCACTCCTTGGGGATGAGGGCAGGGATGGAAGAGGTGGAGATAGAGGAGCAGAGGGAAGGGATGGGGGCACCCTGGGGACATGGGAGTGTCCAGATGGGTGTGGTAGGTGGGTATCCAGGAGGGTAACTGCTGTGGGACTGGTGAGCCGAGAGATATGTGTGGAAAAGGGGGGAGGGAAAGAGAGATGGCGTAGTAGCCGAATATGATGACGAGGAGGAGGAGGAGGAAGTAAGCCGCTGGGATTCAGTCCAGCCTCCATTGGGACAACCTGAGGAGGAAGAGGAGCTGCGAGGAAGACAAGAGGAAGAGGAAATCAGTCTTCAAACAGTGGATAGAGTCAAATACAGACCAGTATTCTCTCTCACACTCTCACACACACACACACACACACACACACACACACACACACACTGACCTGCCCCAGCAGGTTGATGGCCCCGAGTGTCCTGGTGCTGGACCTTTGGATTCAAAGGAAAATGGTGTTATATCATTCTTTACTTTACTATTACTGCAGTTCTAAACATAATAATTAAGACAAAAAGACAAAACACATAATGAATAGTAGGGACAATATAACTAAAAGACACAAAGCTGCTTAGTCACTCACCTAAGGAGGCCTGCTGTTCATTCACACTGACTGTCTGGGGCTGCTCTGCCACTGTTGTGTGGTTAACCTGAATAGACACAAACATCACCAATTTCATCCAGACGTGTGAGTTAGTGTGTACGAGTGTGTGCGTGTGTGTTTGTCCTCACCAGTGGTATCAGCTGTAATGGAGCAGCAGTGGACTCTTTGTTTGAAACCAGTACAGAAGGGGTAGCAGCAGCAGCAGAAGCCAAGTCTCCTTCAGCCTCCCTGAATAAACAGCAGATACATCACAGTCAGTACCACATGAAAGCAACACCAGTGTTATTGTTTACCAGTTCTTCAATCTCAAATCCATGGCGCCGCACAGGATCAGAGACTGCACCAAATGTTCTACTTGTCTGGGTAATTGAAGTTACTGTTATGAAAGTTTTTTGACTGACGCCATCAGCTGTTAGAAACCATAAAAAAAAAACCCATCTCAGACACAATTAGTTCAAATTTCATCCCTAATTTCACTCTCTATCCCCACTGATAACAGCAGCTGAATTTACACTGAGGTGACATTGATATTATCCGTCCTCCCTGTCCCAGGGTTAGGGGCAGGAAAAAGCGGCTCCAGCTATTTCAAAGCATACAATCATACAGAAGCCGCACTGAGCTGTTATAGTGTATTTCTGTACTAATGAGTTCAGTGAGGGTGGGAAAGCAGCATGTTTCAGAGCAAATGAAGACAAACAAACTTTTGCCTTGATCGTAATTCATAGATGCCCTCTGAGCTGGAGTAGGAACAACTCTTATTTGCATGTAGCCTGGAAGAAACCAGGATGGATTGCAGTTGGATTTGTGATATCTATGTCAACAAAAAGTGTCTCTGGACATGACACAATTGAAACAATAAGTGTAAATGGGACCTATTAGTAAATTAAGCTGGAACTGGATAATTATAGTACCAAAGCATTTGAAAAGCAATGTATCAATAAATCTAACTTAATGGAATAGAACAGTCTTCAATAACCTTGAATAGCTTGACATCCAAATGAGGCAGGAGAGGCACCACAAATGAGTGAAACATCACTTCTACAATGCAGTTTACACAACACATGTATTTGCACATTAAATAAGCAATTAATTGTATACCTGTGATATCACAGTTCTCAAGGTGTGAATGCATGTGTTTCTGTGTTTCCATACTTGTCAGGTATCTCCAGGGAGCTTTGCTCAGTCTGAAGGGAAGTGCTAGGTGTGTTGCAAGAAGAGGCGGGGCCTGTTGTCGCAGGAGGATTTCCAGACAGTGGCAGTGTGTCTGCAGCCTGTGGGTGGTGCAGGAGAGAGTCCTAAGAGGGGAGAGGACAAGAGAATATAGCTGAATATAATATTATAATAAAAGGGAAAAATGCAATGTAAAATTTAAAGGTTTAGTTGAGCCACTAGAATAAACAATTCTCAGAATATCTACATAAGACAATATAAATGGCAATATACATGCATATTTCCAGTATAAAACCTACAGTATATTTGGTTTAACACTTATTTCAATGGTTGCCACTAGAGAACTAGCACTCTGTGAGCCAAGAAACATCTGACTGTAACAACAGTAATTATTCCTCTTGCTTCTGAGTCACAGAGATACAGGACTATTTTTTCTGCCTCCCAGATGAAACACATCATTAAGAGGTTTACCTGCTGGCAGTGTGTTGACTGGGGAGGCTTCTGAGACTGGCTCTGCACGGTAAGAGGGGGCGGGGTGGGGACAGGGCTGGGTGTCGGGGTTGGATTTTGGGACTGGGAGGTACCAAAACTCGTTGTCAGACTTTTGGTGTAGCCTCGCTCTTTCTTGAAATTGTTCACAGCCTGTGTGGCAAGAAACAGACGGCAAACTGAAAGGTCAGACACATTATGTATCAAATCAAGAGGTAATAAGTTATACACCCCCCTCCATTTTCCTCCAATTCTTACTTCAACTCATGTATCCAATTTATTTGTTAATTCACCTGTCTGAGAAATTTATTGGCTATCAGGGTATCAGGGGAGACATTTGATTGGCTACAAGTGGGGCAGACATGGTCCTCTGAATCCAGCAGCGTGGTACGGATACCTGAGCAAGAGAGGAAGAAAGTTGAAATGTAAATGTGGAGAGTCTGATTGAAGAGTGAACAGTACCATTTATGAGTACATTAGTCACACATGCTTATACATATACAGTAGTTTATTTATGTACTATAAATAAACTACGTTTCCACATTTATGTTTATTTGTGTTCTTTGTCACCAAAAGATAAAATAATGACAAATTATTGGCTGCTCACTTACTATTACCTACATTAATATATTTAAACATCCTGACTCTAATAATGTTAATGCAGTAATACAGCTTAACTAGCTCTTTGATTTTAGGAGTTACCAAGTACCACAGAAGCACACACATTGGTTCTTGTACAGCCAATATGGATTTACAGTATCAGGATAAAAATGGCTTTATTCTTCTAAGTCCAGTAAGTGTACAGTATATGACGTGTGCATGTGTGTGTGTGTGTGTGTGTGTGTGTGTGCAGAAGGCCCTCACAGTCATCACAGTAGCTGTTTCCACAGCAGGGTATGACCACAGCATCACTCAGCAGGTCATGACAGATCAGACAGAGGAGTTCGTCAGGTACAGGATCCTCCTCGGCTTCTATTGACTTGGGTTTTTCCTGTGGAACAAATGGAGGCTTCTCCTTCTTCCCAATGGCATACGCCTCCCTAATGACAGACATCAGTATATAAGTTCACATTCACGTCCAGATTCGATTATCCAGGCCTTTGTACATCCATCGATCCATATCAATTGATTAAACAGTTCTAGGTGGTCCTGCTATTAACTCTTTTTGTTTCTGAAATCAGTGCAATAATAAACTTAGATTAACAATATTTCAAATAACCGAAACAGTAAAAGGGTAGGGTACATCTTGAAAGTCTTTATGCTAAGCTAACTGGCTCCTGGCTATAGACTTACATTGAATGGACAGACATGAGAATGGTATCAAACTTCTAATCTAAGTCAGAGGAAGAAAGTAAATAAGTGTGTTTCCCAAAATGCTAAACTAATCATTTAAAACACATACACAGACTTACGCATCTATGGCAGGAATGGCATAACGTCCACAGTTGGTTAGCATGGCTCCTTTTATGTTGGGATCATCCACCTCAACCATGAAGGAACGAGGGATGCCTGTGCTCTTCTTTATTCTCAGTGGGGCCTCAAAATTTTTATCCTGCTGTCAAGCACACACACATCTATATTTAATGATAGCCATTATAATAGCTGACAGTCAACAGCATAAACACACAAATAACCCTAGTACTAGATACCACAAATATAAACACACACTAACCAAATCAGTTTCTTGCCTCAGTAAGATCTGTGCAAGACTGCAAAACAAATTGTCTCAATTTAGAGATCCCACAGGTTCTGCTCTTACCCCGCTGGTGGGACAGTTCCTGATGTGGTGTCCAGTATTTCCACAGCGATAACAAGTGTAGTTTGCAGGAAGAACATTACCAAACTTTTTGTTGTAACTGTAGAGAGAATGAGACAGAGAATGAGAGGAGGGTGGATGAAGAAGAAAATGACAGAAAGGTAGGGAGTCTGAAACATATGGAAACAAATTAAGGATGTAAATGGAGTGCGGTATGAAGATGGATCAAAGTAATGGCATCCAAGAGAGAGACAGTGACATATCAGAACACGGAGATGTGAAATTTAAAAAAGGGGGACAGAGACGGGTATGGAGTAGTAGATTTGAAAGTATTACAGTGACTCACTTCATGGTATCATAGGTGGACTGGTTTAGCATAACTTTGATCTTATCCTCCTCTGACACATCTGCATCAGCCAGGTTAGCCATCTGCATGTACACACATGAATGGATGTAAGCAAGACACAGAGACGGCAGGTCAAATGTTTAACTCAAACTATTTCACATTAACCAGGATGAATATGTAAAAACTGAATAATATTAAAAACACACAGAAAAGAGAGAGTATACCTTGGAGAAAAAGGGCAAAGCACTGGAAGAAGCCTGGTCATTCATCTGTTAGAATTAAACACAAAATCAGTTTTACTCATGAAGGAACAAGAGCCTCAAGTTCACGTCTTGAGAGCTCTATGTTCATTTGGAGAAGAAACACTACGACCTGGCAAAGACACAAAAAATGCTCCTTTGGTGATTTTTCCTGTGTAACATGGAAGCAACTGCTGTAGTTTCCATTTTCACTTCCATATCCTTTTTAACCAAGATAAAAATTTACACCAGCATCCAGCAGAGATTTTTGTACAGGGTGGATAATAAATGTCATCCCAGGATTTCCGCCTCAGCACCTCCTGCCAACTCTCTTCTCATCCCTTAAAACTCACTACACTGAAAATGAAGAAGCCAACAATGCGATGCTTCCTAGGAGTTTTACACCTGTTAGGTGAGCGTTTTGTTGGGTAAAAAACAATCTTTGCCCTCATCACCTAGAGTAATATCTACCTCACTGCCTCCTCTCACCTCACTTCTGTCTTGTTTCTGATTGCCTATTTTTGTTTAGTTCCTTGACTGAGACAGAGTAGATACAGGAACCAAGAAAGAAGGGTTTCACTCAGTATGTGTGACACTGCCGTGCTAGCAGCGTGCTCATATTTATGACCAAATATCTGCAAAGCTAATGACATTCCCATCATCCTCACCTGTGCTTAATGCAAAATTCAAAACTTATACCTGCTAAATATGAAAAAAACCCTGCTAAACATTAGCATTTTAGCATTGTCACTGTGAGCATGTTTGCATGCTAACATTCTTAGTATTTAGCTCTTTCTCTGATAAATTCCTTCCAATCAACTATGAGACATTTAAAGATTTACTCTGGTGGTTACATGGTTTTACAGGAGTCGGTCGGCCAGTCAGTCATCACATTCATAAATGCATTCTTAGTTAAATTAGATTTGTAAAACCTTTTGCCTATCTAATCAATGGTTCATCCCCAGTCACACTGTAAGTAACTGCTTCAGGTCATTTGCACTGCTGTCCTTCACACACTTCTTGTATGAGGATATACAGTACGGTCAGAAAGTCTTAGGATACATAAGGACACATTTGTTGTTGAAAACCAGCACACTGGATTTAAATGAAGCAATGACTGAGCTTCAAGTGCTGACTTTCAGCTTAACATACAAACAAGACAATCAAAGTTTTTTTTTATATTTTATGGCCAAACAGCTGAAGACTGGCTCGCCTTCATTGGACAAGTTAGTCACATCTGCTTGCTGTAAACCAGACTACAGGCAAAAAGACACTGAAACAAGCAAGAAGTGTGGATGGCCTGGCAGAGCAAAGATAACAGATGGCATTGATTGTAACCAAAAGGGCTACAATTCCTAAATTATTCATCTGATGTGGATGTAAACACACTTGTCAAATTGAAGCTTGTAGTCACCGTTTCAGTGCAAATCCAATATGCTGCAGTCAAACCAATAAAAATAGTTTCTGACTGCACTCTGATATTATCTGTAGCAGCATGACAGATTTTCTGAGAGTATTTAGTAAAGGTAAGGCAAGTCTAATAAAAGACACTATCAAGTTCCATTATGGGAAGTGTAGGATCCAGTTTTTTGGAAAATCTGTTTCTTGTATACTTTAAGAAAGTTGAATACCCCTTTGAGTTAAATGTGATTCCAGTGTGTATACCATCATATCTGTTGTATCTATGTTCACTTTTTTTTTCCTGCAGAGGAGAAATGTGGAACCAAGATTTTAACCATCAATCAGAAATGTCAAATGATGACAGAGACCGATGTGACTGTGGTTGTGTCCCCACTTGTCCAGTCAAGTCAAACACATAATCAATACATAAGACAGCTTCATACAAACGACTTTATTGGTAGAAAAATCACACACACACAAAAAGTTTCAAAGTGCTAAGAAGAACGGCAGACACTTCTCCTACTGAGAAACTCGAGAGAAAAATCAGGTCAGGTCAGTGTACACTAATTCAGACTGCAGCAAGTAAAAGCTTTTGAGATGTGTTTGAGTTAGTGCACAGGATCATAGACAAAACAGCACTACAAGAATTCAGCATAAAATAACAATGGTGCACCACTTGGTGACTGGGGAGCGGGTTTAAGAGAGGCGCCATTTAATATTTATTGGTCAGAGGTTTTACATTAAAGCTAAAATGCTGTAAATCCTGCCTCAATAAGCCTTTTTTTTAATAATGTTTTTGTCTACAGTAAGGGAGATCTTTTCTGTTACTATTGACATCACAGTGCTGTGCAAGGTTTATTTCAAAAAGTACAAATTCTTTCCTTTTCTTGACAGATTTGGAAAGTTTGGTTGGTGTTTATAATAATTTCTATAATAATATCTGCTCATCTCACTAGAGTCCACAACAGACTTAGATTATTCTGACGCTAACTCATTCATTCTGACACATTTGACTCTTTGGTGGGACTGATATTGATCCAATATACCAAATTTTCAAAAAAAACAAATAAAAAAACAGCCTGTAATGTTACTTGAAGACTCACAAGCTACACAGTTATCAAGAATAAAACTGTATAGTGCTTTTGCAGTGGTGGTGAGGTGCCTCAGATAAATCAAAAAATAATAAGTGAGTGCTACAGCCGCTCATGGATGACGGATAAGTGAGTAAAGACCGTCAGCAGAGCCACCATCATAAAACAACAGTTGGGTTTATCAGCTGTGAATAGCTGGCCGGCATGATAATGTTTGACCCGCCCGAGCAGCTCCCACCACCCACAGATAGATACTGAACGATCTTCAACAATGAACACCGACTGGTGACACAGCAGCTTGTTAAATTAACAGCTGACAGCCTTTATGAGCGATAACGTATATAATGTAGTTTGTTTTTTTTTACCATATAGCACTGGTTAAATAGGCTTAGTTTCTCTTATTTGTACATGGTGCAACTGCAGATAATACTTCTTGATAACTTTTTTAATTTAGTGTCATTATTTAATTTGATTTATTAGCTAAAATCAAACACTGAACAGCAATCAACTTCCTCTTTGCAACAGGAACTTAAACTGCAAAAGAGGAAACAGAGGCTTTCAATGATCTCGATGAAGGTCTCATTTGTTTATCTTATTCTACGTTTGGAAATAGCAATATGCAATTTCAAAAGCACACATTTAGCAAATATTCAAGCATTTCTGCTCTGCTGTGTTAACAATGTGTGTGCTGAGCTGTGCTATAAATGAAGTGCAGTGGGATTTGGTTTGGTTACGTACTGCTTTGACGGCTGCAAAGGCGTGGTGAAGATGGACATCTGAACGCTCACTGAAACACAAAAAGAAAAATCGTTTTAAACCAGAGTCATCCATGACAATTTAATGATTTCTTTTTTTTTCTTATTCTAAAAAGGAGCACACTTCATTTGTTGGCGATACTTTACATCAGCAAAAGGGAGTAAACAAAAGAATAAAATGCAAACGTTAATAAGATCTTCTATGAGGACTGGCATAATTGCAGCATCACAACCACAACAATTGGCCCAGTTAAATGTACAATATGAGAAACACTCCACTGAGCAATAAAACCGAGCCATAAATGTCAGTTATGTGACCCACAACTATTTCTACCAGTGTTAGCGACATGTTTTTACAGTGAATGTTTTTTGCTTTGGTTGAGTTTAAATTTTCATGTGAAGTGTAATGTAAAATGTGAACATAAAAGCCTTTAAACCAGCTCATCATTTAAGGCTTACTTGGCAGCACGGTGAAACTAAGTGACTGTCATCCTGATTGTGCAGGTGGAGAGTTGATTTGCTGCATCTAATCTTGTGGGCAGTGTTACAGCCCTCATTCCTCTCTGCCCGTCTGCATGGTGCTGACGGGGCTAATCACATGACCGTCCGTCTGTTCCAGTGAGGTCTTTTCCTGCTTTCCATGCATGAAACTCACACCACTGTTGACTCTCCTGCCTGAGCCTGACTAATATCTGGGTAATCCTCGTGTACGTCACAGTGGAGTTACAGTCGTACTCTTTTCCTGTGAGCATATTTTATCATGGACATATCATGCAAAACCCTGTTTTATCAACTGGCGACTATTAACTGAGTCAGGTCTCTGGATGGATTCAGTATGTGACCTGCAAAGACATGCTGCTGCTCAAAACCATCCCAGTAAGCAAAAAGGACCCTTCCTTTATCCATTAACCTCCACACTGTTTTTTATACTAATAACTGCTTATCATCTACAATCCATGTCTCTGTGTGATTCAGGCATTTAACAGTAAATGTGTTCAATTAGGAATCATTTTCTTATTCATAAATATACTGAGCTTCCTGATTGGGATCCATTCTGAGCTTATTTTTTCATCTATTACCACATAGCTGTGCAGAAGCTGGGTGATGCTGATAAAATTATAATATAATAATATTTTTGACCAAAACTTAGCCTAATTTGTATACTAAAATTATCTATCATCTTATGTTTGCTTTGAACAGTTGAATGGCTGACGCATTGTTTCTTGGTTGAGTCATCTGAGAGTGATTTTGCAACACTAAAGGTAGACTTGTAGGTGCCAGGTGGTGTAGCTCTTGCAGGCAGGGTGGAGCTTTGCAATGGCAAGGATAGCAACACTAATAAGGAATGCAGGAGTGCAGGAATTCAGCTACAGTCGAGTTCAGTGCCAAACCCCAGAAAAAACTTACATGTTTTGGTTCTTGCCACTTGAGCTGGACTTGCCTCCGCTGATGGGGATTCTCCGGACGATGACAGAGGACCCTTTGGGGATGAGACCTTCATTGTCTGTGTACTCTGAGAGGGGAGAGATCGTGAAAGTGAGGTTTTACAGTCTGAAGATTAGCTCACATTAAAGAATATTAGTTATGAGAAGATCTCTTATCTTCTGGGCTTTTATGAAATCATGCATCCTTTACTGAAAATCAGTTAATGAGAGAATGTCAGAGTCTTAAACTAGTCTAGGACTCTAATGGGTACAAATTAATTGGTCTTTGGTCTTAGTCTATTTTCACTATCTACCTACTGATTATTTTCTTGATTCACAGATGAACTGTTTAGACGACAAAAGTTGTGAATTCATAAAAAAATGTCTATCAGATGTGTAAATCTGTGAAGTAATACAAAAAAGCCCCAAATATGATGATTCACATTTCATAAAAACTATTTTGACTTCATGCTAATGTTACAGTCGATGTCAACACTTTTGCATCACTCTGATTCACCAGCTGCTCAGTTGTGAGCCAAACCATAGTTCCTGGATCCAGCAGTGTGGTCTACAAAAAAACACAGGCGGCATGACACAGCATTGTTGCAAGACTTAAATCTGATGACAGAAATCTGGGTAGGGGGCCCCTTAAGGCTTCCTATAATGCACGTTACTCATTTGACTTGTTTGGTGTGTGCCAGCCAAGACTAACTTTGTGTGTCAATCTCTACAAACTATCATACGGCAGGAGTTGTATATGTGCCTGTATTTTCTCACACACTGAGCGGGTTGTGGTTTCTGTGGTCACAGAATATGATGGGGTTGCAGATCTTATTTTCAAGATACTAACACACTCTAAGATACTTATCATTATTTAATCTGCATGTCACTCTTGCCTTCTTTAATGTAGTGAGTTTACTTAACCTACATGGCAGCAAATTATATTTCTTGTATTGATGATTTTCATATGTGTGTGTGTGTGCCTGGCTGGACTTTTATCTTATGGTCATAACTAGGCTGTGCTCCTACTCTACTTTTGCTATTTTTATCCCACACCTCTCCTGTGACTTTTACATGCATGGTACAGACAGGGCTGATCCACCACCATCAGGCCGTTTAACTAAGGGCATGAAGCCTAAATGCATCAGGAATGTGGCCCATTCATTGGACCCTTTTGTCCCGGCTTGACTTTTCTGGACCCCCGTCAAGCTGAAAAAGGTGACGCAACCCTCCACCCCTAACTCGGACAGCTGTCAAATCTTGACCACGTGTTTACTTCCAAAGTTCAAATTGTCAACCTGTCGTTCACTTATCAGGATAAACGCACTCTCATCAGTTTACATATATGTAGTATTACCTTGCTTTGTCTGTGCGTTCGTGATCTGCAGGTCGCAGTCCCCGGCTCTCAGCTTCTCCCTGCCCATGATCTGCCTCTTCAGATCCGTCAGCGTGATGTGCGGGCCGTCAAAAACCACCGTGTCGTAGCTGAGTTTAGAGGAGAATTTATAATGAACATGAGTCATGCTGAAACTGAGCAAAACTAAACTGTCAGGGACCCGACAGTTGACCGTTTTCCTACGGTGACAAAAAATCGGTATCGTTGTAGTTGCTATGGTAGTACAAAGTTAGCTAGCAGGCGTTAGCAGCCGGCTGCGTCGAGCGTCAGTGGTCTGCCGCTAACAAGCTAGGTCGGTAATTAACAACTGCCTGATAAAGTGGCGTTCACAGGATGACATGTCCCGGCTTCTGGTGGAACAGCAGCGGAGACTCAAGTGAAAGCGCATTCAGTTAGTTTCGGGTCTAATTTGAACTTTTATTCCTGGCAAAGCTGCTATCAATCCGAGGTGTTCGCTGACAGAAACCACCAGCTGTTTCCACAAGCAACGGCTCGTCAGCACAGTGCACGCACCATCTGATGCTGCGTTCACGTGATTCCCGTACACTCCGTCTTCCAAGCGTCGAAGTTGCATTACCACGGTAATTTCGCCTGACTCAGTTTCCACAACTGAGTATCAATGTGAAAACACATACCATATAAAATGATAACAACTCTGACAAATTTATCAGAACATCGAAACATTTTATGTTCTTTTTTCTAAATTACATTCTAAATCATTTCAAATAAAATGGTCATTAGCAATTAATGTTTTAAGCAGTAACTAATTATCATCTACACACATGGGTTGATTACTGAATGGGCCCAGGGGCCCAATAGGTCAGAGCCTCTGTATGAAGTGACTGTTAATATTTCTTGTCAGAAAGTCCATCAAAAGCATGACTTGACACAAAATGGCGTCAAAGAGACACCAAATGACCCAAAAGGGACACAAAACAAGTAAAATTAGATGCAATACGAACACAAAGCAAGGCTAAGCAGCTATAAACATGACAAGATAAAAATGACTACAAAGAAATGCAGAATGACTTCAAAGACACACAAAATGACTCCCTTTCAATCTGATGGGTTTTTTTTAAGAACAGTATTTTGTCGTTAAAGGTAAGAATTTGGCATGTCAGTTTGAACATATGAACATGAAACTGTAGATAGTTACACTCATTGAATATTCAAGTTCAAGGACAAAAAGCAGAAAAGAAATATACTACACGCCTTGGAATAAGGTTAGTGGAAAATAAAGTTGTGTAGTGTGATTGTGCTGGGGGGAAGGGGTAAAAGAAATCAACCAAATCGATGCAATTGTGACAGGGAAAGGTAAAAGGGAAATTACCACGCAAAACAATAATACAAGAGGAAACATAAAAAGGGTCAATTCTCGTATTCTACATTCGTTTTGTTTGAAAATAGCGATGTACAATTTTTCGTCCAACACTTGAAAGCAACATCTTGCGTCCGAGCTCGGAGCAGTGCACCTGTTTGGGCTCAGGGGACAGCAGTCAGGCTGGTTCAAAGACAACCAGATTAACGCCAATTATAGATGAAATAATCGCTTTTACTTGTCCAGTTGTTGTGTTGAAGATGTGACATGTTATTTATTTATTTATTTATTTTTGCATTTTATTCCCAGTGGAGTCGCGACCAAATTCACTGAGGCTGAGTACCAAGTAGGAAAAATATTTGGCCTACTGTTTTTTAGAGTACAAAATTCATACATTACAATTACACTTAGTTGCTGATTGCAGTTCTGTTAGTATGCAGTCTAAATGATCCACTAGAGGGACACAAAGCACCATTTATAATGCTGTTTTGTGATCGGTGAATTGTACTGCAGTATGCAGTCAGTCTGAAAGGCTCACATTTTGACACATTTGGTGGCATTGGCAAAACAAAACGTAAGCCCAGTGTTATTTGACTTAACTATAGCCTATGCAAAAATCCAACTGGGTTCCTTTACGAAGAATTAGGCTGCCATTGAGATTTTGCAGTAAAGAGAATGTGTAGTTTACAACAACAAAAATACCATACCAAAAAATTAATTATGGTTGAATTTAATTCAATTGGTAAATGCATGAAACTAAATTTCCAAATATCAGCAGTTATGTTATCTAGGCTGTATTAAGACTTAACCTGCAGGTGAATTCTTGACTTAAAAAAGGAAATTTATGGCAGTTATATTTTACTGTGAAGAAATTCATTTCTGATTTCCAGAATTGTTGTCATCTAGTGAAAACTGACTCTTTAACTGGCAGAGACAGAACAAATTTTGATAAAAGTTACATTTTTCATGTCAAAGAAAATAAAAACATGGTTTGACACAGTGGGAAAACATTCTCTTTCTTGTCAAGTGTTAGATGAGAAAATCGATTTAACTTACTTTACTTTAACTGTAAGGTAAATATGAAGCTACAGCAAGCAGTTAGTGATCTCAGCCTAGCATAAACACTGGAAACAGGGGTAAACAGCTTGTCTGGCTCTGTCCAAAGGTAATGAAATCTGTCTATCTGCACTTCTAAAGCTTCATATTTACTGTACAGAAGTGTGAGTGGTATTTAGGCTAGCTGTTTCAGCTGTTTCCAGTCTCTATTCTATGCTAAGTTAGCCCTCTCTTGGCTATAGCTTCATACATGTACAGGAGTGCGAGCGGTATTGATTTATTTAATCAAATTGTGGGCAAGAAAGCTAAAAAGCATATTGGATGTGAGGAACCATTGAAGGGAAGGAGACAAGAAGTGAGGAAACAAGCTGAGTGCAAGCAAGGGGCTTAGGAAGCAGGATCCTTTTCTGACGCTGTGACATCATCACCACAGGTTGATGGGGGTGGGGGGGGGGTGGAGGGTTGTGGCACACATACACATGAGGAGGCATGGATATCACAGTGAAGCTAGTAGACAGTGGTTCACTGGGGACAGCAAGCTGATTGGTTGGATTCAGATAAATGAAGGGAGAGAACAGAGAAGAGAGAGGAGTGTTTTGCGCTCAGTCTTCTCTCTCCTCAGTCTCTTGCTCTGCTTCTTTCTCTCCTGCCTGCTCTGCTCAGAGGAGGGATTTGCCCTATCTTCCCTGGCTTAGCACACCATTGTGAAAGCAGTGGGAGGATGGAGAGATGCAGAAGGAGAAGGAGAGAGAGACAGAGAGAGAGAGGGAGAGAGAGAGAGAGAGGGAGAGAGAGGGAGCGAGGATGAAAGGGAAACAGCTGCTGCCTTTAAACTGATGTTCTTCTTATCGTGATATGATACAGGACATGTTCAGTGACTCAGCCATCAAAGAGCTGCTTGGAAACAATCTCATATCCTGGCATATGATGTGTTTAAAATGGAGTATATTATAGTCATCATATATGGAAGCCCATTTCAGCCAGATAAAGAAGAAAAACGTCAATCACAACTTTTTAATAAAATTATGACGTAAGTCTAAAGTTTAAAGATAGTAAGTCACAATTTTGACTTTCTATCTCATAATTTTGACTTACAATTACTATTTTTATTTTAAGCTTTCCTACACAAATGATCTTCCAATACTATATATAGACTCTCATAACACGTAAAATAATAATCGGTAAAAACCAGTGAGTTTTACTAGGACAGATTCCCACCCAAACTGAACAATGCAAACTGATTGTTCCATGTGAGTAGCTAACTGTCTGGCTACCTATTGGATTTGCTTACTGACTGACAGAGGAACTAATAAGTTAACTAGCTGAATCAGTCACTGAAACCATCTAATTATCATAATTAGAAATTAATACAACTTCTGCTGGTTGACAGATGGCTGTTGGACTGATTTGGTGGCAAGCTGACTGACAGACTGATATCTGAATGCCCTTCTGTCTGTCGGCCATTTTGACACATATGCTGATGAATCTGAAAATATGTTTGGGTGATGTGAGTTTTCCATTTCATTGTAATTTCCAGACCATTTTACTCTAGGCCTGTTGGTTATGCTGAAATGCCTAAACAGTTGGAAAATGATAGAATCTCTTCTGTCAGTCCAATGCTTTACATTGATTTATGCAATTTTCAAAATCTGTCATTTAATGATCACTTGTGGCTGGAAGGCCGAACTGAGAGAAAAACCAACTGTTTGGACCAAACTGGTCAGCAGATGACTGATGACCTTTCAGTCTTCATCCCTCCTTTCCCCCTTCTCTTGTTCCCTGGCATCTTTGACTTTCCTTTCTTTATCCTGATATCACACTCCCCTTATCATCTCTCCTCTGCTGCCTTCAGCCCTCGACACTTTCTCTTCTCCCTTCTCCCCCTTTCCCTCATCCTCCCTTCACCTTTCACTCTCTCCTTCTTGTCCCTCTGCTTGAGCAGCATTCACAGCTCCAAGGCTTTTTTTCACACTGCAGATGGCCATAGTGTTACTCCACTCAAGGCACACACACACACACACACACACACACACACACACACACACACACACACACACACACATTTGCTCTCCTTGTCAATGGTTCAGAGTGCTCTTCACTCACTTTGTCCTTCTCAGAGAACTGAAGTATCTCTTGTCCTTAAATCTCAACTTGCAGAAGATTTGTCCACCAGGTCTGGCACTGATCAGATGCTCTGTGTCTTCAGGTTCAGAGTGGGTGGCAATCCTCAACCCTGGACCAAAATCATGTGATTTAGGAAGTGTGAGGAAGTGGATTTTAAGTCATGCTAGCGGCATAGCTCCAGGGATGTCGGTGTCAGCTGGTTGTTCCACCACTTTGGTCCCGACTGGTGATATTAGTAAACATTATACCTGCTAAACATCGACACGTTAGCATTGTCATAGTGAACACATTGCTGCATTTACCATTTAGTTAGCATTTAGCTGAAAGAGCAGCCTCATAGAGGTGCTAGCATGGCTGTAGACTCTTGTTGTCCCATTAACAGATGGCTGGTAGTTGATAAGTAAGTGGGATTTTAAGGAACAGATTCACAGTACATTTTAGATGCCAAAATGCCTATTGACAATATAATGTGTGTAATATAAGTTAATATAGAGTTATGGAAAGGTTAACAGGTATTAAGAAGGGAGATTGCCCAAACAACTTTCACATAAAAAACAACAAATTTCCAGAATATTTACAGAGTGAAGTGGAAGTCTGAAAGTGTTTATACACATTTCTGTAAAATGCAGTTGAATGTGTCTTCTGGATGAAATGGAGGATAGTAGTCTCACATAACAGTTTGTACAAATAATGAACTATACACAGTGTTTCATGTTCAGGTACATTACACACAGACAGAAGTTATAAAACACATGCAATCACACAGATAAGGCAATTTACCATGCACATGTGCACTCAGACCTTTGTTCAACACTGCACACATTGACATCAGGTGTTTCCTGCACGTCTCTGGTGAATGCACGCGCATGCATGCGCACACACACACACGCACGCACGCACGCACGCACGCACGCACGCATGCACGCACGCACACACACACACACACACACACA